GCCACTAAAAGTGTGTGGTCTTTCTTCAGTGTCCCAAACAAGAGCATTTCCCAGAACCCCTTGCTTCTCGGTGTGGTCTGAAAATGAGTCGTTGCTGGTGAAATGGGAGCAAACATGATGTGGGTTGTGTCTGTCATTTGCTGTTCTGTCCCCTCCCTGCCCTGGTCATCTGTGTCGGGTTGGCCCTGACTGGACTGGACAGAGAGGGCACTGGTCGGGCATGAGAGGAAGGGAGGGAAATACAGGGTAGTTTAGGCCTCATCTGTTGGCATTTTGGTTGTACCTCTGTGGTTTCAGATAAAGTATTCCAAGTTTCTATGACTCCAGTCTGTAAATATACATACATCTAGAACGACAGTATTTTAAGCCCTTAACAGTTATTTATGCCATGAAAACAAAGTGGGGGGAAGGTCCCCTGCTACTAGGACCCTCTGAAAAGCCTTGAGGTGACGGTAAAGTTAAAAGGAATATGGAGACGCCCCTCCTATGTGCAGGACTGAATGATCTGCTTCTAACTCTCCTCACCACATGCCTGCCCTTCTTACCACTCGGGAAACCACTTCTTCCTTTTCCTTACATGGACACAGTCCATACAGTTCAGTCATTTGAAGTGCATGGTTAGCAGCATTCAGCACATTCGCAGGGCAGGGCTGAAAAAAATGATCGCCGTGGTCGATTTCAGAGTCTTTCAATCATCCCTAAAAAGAAATCTGAGCCCTTCAGCTGTTACCTCTCACTCCACCCCCTCTACACTCTGATTTTATAGAAATATAAATGTCTGTGCTTCTGTCCTAACGGGAGGAAATCAACCTGCAGTAAATAGAAAGGACTCACCCAGCATGCAGTGCGCTGTGGTGCCTGGCTTCTTTCACTTAGCAGCATGCTCTCAAGTTTCTTTGGTGTTGTAGTGTGTGTCATTTTTCTGGGGAGTGAGGGGAAGGCTACACTATTCCAGCACACGGATTCTTCATCCAGGCATCACACCACAGATTTCTGTTTCCACGTTTTTAGCTCCCATGAATCATTTTGCTGTAATATTCACATATAATTTTTTTATTTAGATGTAGGTTTTCATTTCCCTGGGGTGGGTCTCTGGGAGTGCACCTCCATGTCTGACCAGTCCAGGGCTGCTTATAAAGTCCCTGGTGTTGGGGTGAGACACCTTGTTTCCACTTTGCCGTGAGAAACTTGGCTTCTAATATGTGTGCACTTGTTTTTTTTACCTATGAACTTTTATTCAACTGCCCCAGTCCTATGTGTTTGTTTTGGCCTGGGTCGGTGTAACTCCATCCTGTTTTTGTGCGTTGTTACCAGACAGTCTTCCTCATTCTCTCTCTCTCTCTCTCTCTCTCTCTCTCTCTCTCTCTCTCTCTCTCTCTCTCTCTCTCTCTCTCCATTTTGTTCACTGAAGGTTAATTTTTTCCCTTTGACACTCTGCTTTGGTTTTGGTGGGACTCATGGGTTACTGAAATAACAAGAGGGTTTTTTCCAGTTTCCCTCACGGTAAAGACTGGGGGCTGGAAGTGAGGGCTGCGAGAGGGCAGGGGGAGGCAGGAGGAAAGAGCTCAGATTCCTGGAAGCTAGGGGATGCCCAGGGCTGGCCTCCGCAGTGCCTGTGCCCTGGGCGGCTCTCCAGGCCTCCGCCCAGCGCGCCCTGGCTCTCTGGGCAGTACGTGCTGCTCAGCACTTGTGAAACACCTGCTCATGGCGAGTGCCAAGGGCCCAGGAGCTGTTGGAGACTCTATATCCTGTTTGGGAATTGTTTCAAATGAGATCAGTGACTCTTCCCTGCACCAAGACAAGTGTTCTGAAGGGTGGAAAAGAAAGAGGAGAGGACCAACACGGATTCGTGTTTTTGGAGAGTGGTGTGTGCATGCAGCCTCATTGGGCCCCCAGCACCTCCAGGTGCCTGCAGACGCTGTGGGCCGGAGGGATAGCCCCGCACTACTGTGGGAAGGTCAGGGAAATCTGGGTAAAGATGCTTCCTGGGCATCAAGGTGGGAGACCACCTTGCTCCTGTGTCAAGTTTCCTTCCCTTTGTTATTCATTCAGTTAACATTTGCTGAGAGTCCTGTGCCTGGCGCAGCCCTCGCCCCTGGGACACAGGTCTGATTTCCTGGAATTTACAGCCTTTAATTTCCTTTTTCTTCCCACAGTCTTCTCCAGCCTCCATTTAGTCCTTTCTTGTTTTCTTATGCTTTTCTATACTTACGTGTTAAAGGGACACATCGAAGAATGTATTTTCATGTCAGTGTTTCATTTTCTGCATTTACATAGAGAGAATTTAGAGCTGGGAGGCTTTGGCACAGTCTAAGGGTAACCTGTGTCTGCAGAGGCCTCCTCTCTTGAAGAGGATGAAGCAGGATTCTAAGTCTATATCAAAAAATGTGGTAGTTGCAGGTGTGGTAGTGCACTCCGAGCCGTTATCCCAGCACTCAGGAGGCAGAAGCAGGCTGATCTCTATGAGATCCAGGCCAGCCAGGGCTACACAGGGCTATACATTCAAAAATGCATACCATACCCATAAACCAACCAACTGACCAGGCAAGCAATCAACCAATCAACCAACCAACCAACCAACCAACCAAACAAACAAACAAAAAGCAATGGCCACACATCCTCATCTAATCTATGCTCTGGTGGTGATGTTTCCCAGAGAAATTAAGTTCCAGGGAGAGTGTGTGTGTGTGTGTGTGTGTGTGTGTGTGTGTGTGTGTGTGTGTGTTTGCTTGTGCTTTATAGGACTAGCCCTCCCAGCTAAACAACTGTTATCTTGGGGGAGTTCAGCTGTTCCTACTTGCACAAGATTATCCAGGCTGGGATCGTCAACAGTTTACATCCCCTCATAGAGGGGTGGGAAGGGTCAGGAGACTGTCAGGGTCAGCTGAGTATCCAGCTGCCCCCATCACCTGCTCTTTGCAACCCTTCCCCAACTGCATTTGGCCTCCAGGAGGGGCTAGGGTACACAGGCTGGGGAATGCTAGGGAAGGGGAACTCCATCTATGAGGCTATGGGAAAGCCTTTATTCCTGCTGGGTAAAGACTTTGCAGTGTGGCCTGGGGCGGGGGGGGGGGGGGAGAGGAGGAGAAGCACCCACACCTCTGTAAGTAAGCCCTCATCTGTGCGCCATAAGTGAGCCCTGCAGACACATTGGTTTGTCCTTTGGGACCTTAGGAGGAGGGGTAGGTGCTGTTTATTTCTTCTCTTGGGATGGAATTTTAGAAGCAAGTGTGTCAGGAGTGTCTGGAAGGCTGGGATGGCACAGAGACACCACTGACTCGAGGCACTGGAAGGCTCACCTCTGGATACAGTCCAGAAGTTTCCTCTTAAAAGTGGCTCCTGATTCCTGTGAATACTTGCTCTCCACCCCATCAAGGTTGTGGGTCTGCAGTCCTTTCCACGCTCACAGGCTTGGGATGTCTTCGCTTCAACACTTTGCCTCTGACCTGAGTGATCCCACCCTGGTCCTGGTCTCCTTCCCAGTCAGAGTCAAGCAGGACTTTGGCGCCTGCTCTGCTCACCTCTTTTCTGGGGAGTGGTTCAGTGTCTCTCTATTTAAGACTGTAGAGGCAGCAATTTGACTACTAAGGAACAGAATTGATTTCAGTTGTTTTGGGGCACAGGACTCATGGAATTCATAGAGAAGCCACACCGGTAGGCCTAGAGAATGCAGAAGCCAGGGCAGTCCCAAGGAGGCCAGTAGACAAAGTTCATGGATCTTTACTCAGGGTCCCCTCATTGGCGTGGCTCAGGTCTTAGCTACCCCAGCTTTTGCACCCCTCCACATAAACCGTCAAGAGAAAGGTGTGCGAATTCCTTGTGCTTAAAGATCCACCCCAGTCCATTTAAGGATGGGCGGAGACCAGAACTTGGTGGCAGGGACCTAGGACAGCTCTTGGTGCAGCTATGAGTATGTATAGGTCATTTCCTAAGCAGGAGAGACAGTTCATAATTAAATTACAGGGACAAATCCCTAGCTTGGACCTGAGCACTCAGCTCCTCCTCCTCCTCCTCCTCCTCCTCCTCCTCCTCCTCTTCCTCCTCCTCCTCCGTTTAAGTATGCTCAAATGTTGCTTCCGTGCTCCTTGTATAACTACTCACTTATCAAACAGGTCTTGTGGAAGGCACTGACCTGTGATTTATGTGTCACAGAAGGACCAGGGTGTTTGATGCGCGCACTTATCCGCTAGAGAAGAAACATTAAATGAAAGCAAATGGACCCGGCCGGGCACATGCACATTTCATTGCAATCCGGCCCCTGGCCAGGTCACACTGATTTTCAGGTTGCAGATCTTCATGCAGCTGAAGCAGAGCCAAAAGGTCTGTCAGCGGCTGAGCTTCCCTCCTGGTTCCTTCACTACCGAAATGATTTTTGCAACGACCTTGTTTTATATATAACCCTTCGGAGTTAAAATCCTACCGTGAAATCAAAATCCAAGCTGATGACACCTTTTAAAATGAGAGGTATCAAGCCACAGTTCCAGAGGGAAGGCCTCTTTGACCTAATACTGAACAGAGTTCCTTTGAATGGCACAGAGCTGAGTTTTCATTAAGCTACTGGTAGTGAGTGGTCTGCATCCCTGGGCTCTGGGTCCTGGGTCCTTATCAGCAGCAGGCTCTAGGTGGCGCTACAGCGCAACTTTAGTCGCTGCAGACAGAGCCTGGAGGGATGCAGAAAATCAAAAGGAAATTTAGTGCTGAAGGAAGTGACTTACATCATTTAAGGAAAGGGGTACAGAAACCACCACGCAGAAGCTTCTGTGGAAGAGGCGGGTTGGGAGTGGGATGAGGGTCACTTTTTTTTAGTGATACGTGGAAAGTCTGGTGTGGCAGGGAATGTAGAACTAGTTGTGGTTGGTCTTGACCCAAGCATCACTGTTCTTTTACCTCATAGCAGGGTGAGAGGGCCGGCAGAGGGAATGGAAAGCCCGAGAAACAGAATAATAATGAGACAAACACGAATTAAAAAACATTTTAATTGTAGTTGTCTTATCTTGAAGGAGAATTTGGTCTGAAGTACATGAATTCCCTCCCTGATCGTACTCCTGCTTGACCACTGAATTAAGAAGTGTGGCTAAGGATTACAGGAGGACAGAGAATCATGGTAAGTTACATGGGTTGAAGAAAGGTACTTGTTCATGAGTGGGAAGTGAACAAAAAACTAAGAGACATATTGAATGTCTTTTCTTATGAGCCACACACTCTAAAAGTTGAGTTTATGTTAGGTTTGTGATACAAGACTAACTAACAAACTTTAATGGCTTTTGTAGGTCCATGTAAAGTCCTAACCTGAACCTCGTTTTCTCAGGACAAGTCTGTCTTCTGTTTCTGACGGTACTGATGACTGGACCAACAGTACCAGCATAGAACTTGTTAGAGAAGGAAATATTTGAGCCCCACCGGGGTCTTCCGTGTGGATTCATCTTCATTGTCTGCATGACTCTATTAGGAATCACCCATGGGACACACTTCTGGGTTATTTATAGACAGTGTGTGTGTGTGTGTGTGTGTGTGTGAATTCATGTGTGTGTGTGTGTATTCATGTGTGTACACATGCGTTTATGCGTGAGTGCCTCCAGGTATTTATGTATACCACGGGCATGCTGGTGTTCACAGAGACCAGAAGAGGATGATGTGAGATCCCTGGGAAATGGAGTTGCATATGGTTGTGAGCCACCATGTGGGTGCTGGGAACTGGACTAGGGGTTCTCAGGAAGAGCAGCATCTGCTATTAACCTTTGAGCCACCTTTCCATGACACGGACCCCATAAATCAGAAACTCTGGGGATGGGCCTTAGTAGATTAGAGTTCAGCTGCTCCTCCAGGTGGCCCTGAACCCTGCTGAAGTTCAAAGACACTTGCTTCAAAGAGCCTCTCAAATTCTCTTGGGGTAGAATCAGAAGAGGTAGATATTCAGCAGACACTTGAGTCCCTATTCAGTTAGCAATTGCCTAACATCAAATCCCGTATTGTTTAACCTATTTTCTTTCTTCATTTGTAGAAAACGTGATCCTCTTGCCGATCGTTAGTAGGGAAACAGGCGGACCTACACCTACATATGTAATGAGTCTGCACGAAGAAGGTAATTCTATCTGGAAAGGTGGAAGGAGAAGGGCTTAGAGGGTTGTGAGGTACTCTAGGCAGCCTTGAATGGTGAGAATAATGAGACAGAGAAGGACTTGTGACTTTGAAATGTTGCCTTTCATTATTGTCAAAGAAGAAATCTGTCTACTTCAAAACATAAAGGAGTGAAGCATGTTGGGAGGGATTGAGTTTCCCTTCTACGATTGGTTAAAAACATGAGCTTTGCAAGTCACCTATTCAGAGGGGAAAACCCGGCTATTCTTGGACTTTGATTTGGTGAAGTAATGTCTACAAATTTCTGAGGAACCCGGTGACTCAAGAATATTCTACTCCGCCAAAGTGTTGGTCAAATCTAACAACAACAAATACTACATTCTCACGTACCAATGAATTCAAGAATGAACACACACCTTAGGAAAATAATTATTCAAGGACAAGAGTCAACCAGGTCAGAGGTAAGATGAAAGACTCATGAATAGAATAGTCATAGCGAAAGAGTAGTGATGGGCGTTGAAGAACCAGGTCTAAGGAGGAGTAGACATTTTAGTAACAGGATAGAAAATGGATCTTATCTTGTTTACAATGGGCTGTAAATCAGACTGTGAGAATAATTGACTTCCTCAACTTCCTTAGAATGAGGCTCAGTTTTAGAAATGACCAACCACTTTATGTTTTTTTGATATTTTTTTCCTTAGAGAACTTTTTAAAAAATAAAATAAAACCTCTTATGCCCCCTGCCACATCTATGTGATGTTTCTTTTCCTTTTTTCCTTCAGAATCATTTTCACTTGGTAAGTGAAACTAGACTTTACTACTTCCTTTAAATTAAAACTACCTAATAAAGTATGATCTTATTTTATTGAACATATTTTCCTATGTCTGTCTACCTTTCTTCTTTCCTTATCTTGTAGGATTTGAACCTAGGGCCTCGGGAATGCCAGATAAACATTCTACCCCTGAGCTACATCCCCAGCTTTCTTTTTACTTTGTGTTTTATTTATGTGTATGAATGCTTTGCTTGCATGTATGTATGTATGTATACCACGTGCATGCCTGGTGCCTCAGGAAGTCAAAAGAAGCCATCAGATCCCCCGAACCTGGGGTTATGAATGTCTGTGAGCTTCCCTGTGGGTGCTGGGAACTGGACCCGCTTCCTCTGAGCCATTGCCCCAGCCCCTGGCCGTTGTTCCTGCACAGAGTCTCACGAGGTTACCCAGGTTGGTTTCAACTCACCCTGTAGCCCAAGCAGCTTTGGACTTGCAATCCTTCTGCCTCGGCCTTCCAAGTAACTGAGGTTTAAAGCCTCTATTAACGGGCCCAATTCTGTCTGTTTGTCTTTCTCTCTTTGCATAATCTCTTTGATTTTCATGGTTTTAACTTTTACCTATTTGCTTGTGGTATTCAGGTATTTACCTTTAGCCCTTATGATTTATCTGAGTTTCAGAATTACATATCCACTTCCCCTTGGAGAGCACCTGTTGGCTGTTCAATGGACAGGCACTTGAACGTGTTCAAAGTCAGACTTGTTTTTTATCCGAATTTGCTATGCCTGATGTTCTTATATTTCCTGACTTCACTCATGATTTTACTGTAAATCCCAGATTCCTTACCTTTCCTTCATCCTGGCCGTCCATTCAGTTACTGTTGGTGACATGTCCAAAACAGATTCTTGAAACTATCCTTGACTTTTCCTTCTTCCTTTTCACTTCCCTTCCGACTGTTGACAATGTCGCTTCTTAAACAGGTAGCTTTTTCTTCCTCTTTACCTTAGTCACCGCTACGCTAGACTTCCGGGGACCAAGCCTTCAAGCGCACAAGCATATGCAGGACATTGAATTCAAACCACCACAGACACCAAATACTGATGAGGATGCAGAGAAAGAGGAACCTTTGTTCTCTGTTGGTGAGACTATAAACTGCTGCACCCACTATGGAAATAAGTATGGCAGTTTCTTAAAAATAACTAAATCTAGAACTACCCTATGATGTCGCTAGACCACGTCTGGCATCTACCCAAAGGACTCCACATCCTACTCCAGAAATCAGCTTAGATGCCCAACAACGGATGAATGGATGATGAAAATGTGATACATATACACAATGGGGTTTTATCCAGACATAAAAAACAGTGAAGTTATGAAATTTGCAGGCAAATGGATAAAACTGGAAATATATTAAATGAGCTAACCTAGGCTCAGAAAGAGATACACAGCATATTCTTTTGCCTGTGTGGATCTTAGCTTCGAATTTTTTTGTTTGCTTGTATGCTTTCTTTTTTTCCTTTTTGAGACTGAATCTTAGGCCTTGAACTTGCTAAATAGCCAAGGATGACCTTAAACTTCTGACCCTCCTACTTCTATCTCCCGATTCGTACTGATTTTCTAATTTTTACGTATGTGCACTTATGGAGAAGTGAGTGTTGGTAGAAGTCATAAAACTAGAAAAAGGCCGCGAGAGGAGAAAGGGAGGCTTTAAGAAAGGACCGGGAGAGGTAGCAGGAGACAGTGAATTGAAAGCAGAGGGGACATTGGGAGTGGCAGGGTGCAAGTAGGGAGCTAGGGCAGGGAGCTAGAGGAAAGGAGGGGGAGAATTAGCCAAAATGAAGTATGAATGGGGATGTCATAAGGAAAACGGTTCCTTTGTATGCTAATTATAAAGTAATAGCAAAGAAAAATAATGTTGCCTATTACGCAATATGGCACACAGTAGGTTTAAGAAGACTGTGAACAAAGCAATCTGGGAACATCTTTCTTTCAACTGCTAAGCATATTGCCCATCTCCCTTGGGCACAATTGGATGAATGCCACGAACTTGAATAGCACTCCCTTTTTCTGAACTCAGGACAGATGTCCTCTCTTCTGTAGACACACTCTTTCGTCAGCTCTGCTGATCCTATCGACTAACTTAACGCTTTCTCTTAGAACAGTCATTTCAGTCAGCTGTTCAGGCAGTATCCCAGACTCCTTCACTGGATTTCTTCATTCCTTTAGTCATTTATCCTACTCACAGAAGCCTGCCTGCCAGAGAAGCATGAACTAGGTTTTCTGTAAAATGGTGCCCTTTGTATTACTGGCCTTCATGGCGGAGCTCAAACTGTTAGCCTTATAACGCTCCCGTGGGTAGGCTCTGTGCATGAGGTGGGTGCTGATGTCCGAAGTGCAGGAGTCCTGTGTGCTCAGTCCAAGCTTAGCTGAGGTCCTCAAGTTCCTAAGAACAGACTAGTGTCAAGGTTAATTGCTCTGGTTTTGGAGTGAGGCAGGTCTGGTTTTGAATCTCACGTGCACAGCTCAGTGGGGCTAGCTCCTTACTGGGAACTTCACAGGACTGTTTAAGAATGAATAGAAACAGTGTTCAACTGTGCAGGGCAGATGAATCCACATGCAACAAGTGATCTCCTGCCTCACCTACCTCTTCTTCCTCCTCCTCCCTCAATGATAATGCCTGCTCTGCTTCTCGGCTTAGCCCGATCATTCTTCGGTGGTCCTCCTGTTCTGAAGCCGCGTCTTAGTGATGAGTGAGCTCTTGTGAACGGCCTTGTGGACACCCTAGACAACAGTTGCCTTTTTTTCCTTCTCCCTCTACTGGGAGATGCTTTTTATTTTGAGGGAGACTGTTTATACAGGGATTATTTAGCATTTTTATTCGTTGAAGGTGTTGGCATAGCTGCAGTCTGTAATTCTAAAGAGAAGGCGGTTAGCTGTGCCTTTCTTTGTTTGCTGGGAACATTTCTGTAGATAAGCAGCCTGCACAGTAAATAAAGTGCATTGTTATTACATCGCCTAGCAATTTACCTCTAACAGACGGCTGTGCCTGCTATAATGACATGATAGCTAATCCATACCCCTGCATGATTTTATCTCCTACTGGAGGAGGCTGGCAAGTTTAAAGGAGATGCCCTCAAGGATCAACCAGGGGAAAAAACCAATTTTTTTTTCAGGAGGTACACCAGCAGTCAGTGCCCAGATTTTGAACAAGTACTTAATTTCAGCATCAATTACCTTAAGCCTCCCACAAGTCAGTTTCACCTAAAGCATCCATGGAAAAGCAGTTTGATTTAATTAAGGAAGTCTCCAAATCCTGGAGTCTGTGGTTAATACAGAGGATCATTTTTTTTCCTACTACATTAGAAGTTTTGGATATGCAAACGGTTCATCATCCAACTTGCCTTAAAAGCAAGTAACAACTGCCTGTGGCGACAGACAACTAACCTTGATTTCATTTCTCTAGCTTTCTGTAAGCGTTTGATAAGATTCTCAGAGTGATGCTGTGGGATGCCATGACAGGCATGATTTTATAGCACTGTAAAGTAAGTTTAGTGCCATCACCAGGTACTGAATTTATTGTGTTACCCTAGTTTTCCATGGAAAGAAGTGGATTTTCCACTACACCTCACTTCCTGGGGTTTGTCCTTTTGTTTTTATCTTCTGATTAGACCGACTGCTTCTGGAAGGAAGGGGAGTTGGGATTCCTTAGGAGTTCCTACTTCTGCAAAGAGCCTAGGGTCAAAGTTCAGCAGGATTCTGTGCCTGGCTTCAGTTCCATGACTCTCTGAAAGCCATGTCTTTCATTACTATTTGTTGCTGTTTTGGTAAAGCTTGCTGGCAATATTACCTGAACATTTTTTGTTCTGTGATTGCTTTTGTGAATTGTCACAGCCGTCTTTTACAGACTGGCAATGCTTGCAGTAAGGGACAAGTGTTGAAGGGAGCGTCTCTTGTTGGCACCTGTCCAAGTTGGCTCTTCCTTGCTGTGGTAAACACCATGACCAAAAACAACTTGGGGAGAAAAGGGTTTATTTCACTTTACAGCTCACAAGTCACACTTTATCAACGAGAGAAATCAGGAAAGGGACTCCAGGGAGGCAGCTGAAGTCAGAAACTGAAGCAGAGACCATGGAGGGATGTTGCTTACTCACATGCTCTCCATGGCTTGCTCAGTTCTCCCTCTCTCTAAAAGATTCATTATTTTTAATTACGTGTATGTGTGAGTCTGTGCATGTGAGTGCAGGTACCCACAGAGGCCAGAAGAGGGAGTCATTCCTCTGGAACTGGAATTTCAGGCAGTTGTGAACTGCCCAACTTGCGGGCTGAGAGTCAAACTTGGGTCCTACTAAGCCGTCCCTCTATCCCCTCAGCTCACTTTCTTGTACAACTCAGGACCATCTGCCAGGGTTGGCACCATTCACAGTATGCTGGGCTCTCCCGTATCAATCAATAATCAAGAAAATGCCCCAGAGACACGTTGGCAGCACAGTTTGGTGGAGGCAGTTCCTCAGCCGAGGCTCCCTCTTCTCAGATGTGTCTAGGTTTGTGTCAAGTTGACAAAAACTAACCATCCGTTCACCCTGATCTGCCTCCCATGGAAGAAGTGTGTATCGTTTCTCCTCGCGATGAGCTAGGTGTGGTGATTTCTTCCTGGCAGGCTATTTCTTTCTCTCTAATCTGTCTGTTTCACCCCATCGATAGCATCACCAAGGGCTAACATTCATTGAGGGCTTCTGGTTTGCCTGGGCGCCTTCACAGGCATGATCTTATTTAATCCACACTAAAACCATTATTATTGCCATTTTACAGGTGAGGACTTTGAGTCTTAAAAGGGTGAAATGAATTATCCAGGGTCACTCGGCTAATTAGGGCTGGATTCTTGACTCAGACTCTGGTTTAGACT